AAGTGTAATAGAATGAGAGCTGCTACCTTTCTGCTTACTTACCCAAACTCGCGGTTGTTTCCTCTCATTTCCTCCATTGGTATTGTTGTCATTTTCTACTTGGAAGAACTCAGCATCATTTATGCCTTCTGGATTACTTACACAAGTTTTATGTATATTTCTCCCAGCACAGAGGGTTCTCTGAAATCCTGCCGTTTATGCTTCTCCAAAGACATATTTATTGATTCATATACTCTGTTTGTTCATTTTAAGTCAACTCCCTATCCTCATTTTTGTAAACAAGTAGTCCCAATCCATAACGACCCCATCAAAATTTCTTATTAAATAATATGAAATGTCTTTGCATATAATGATATAGGGAAGTCATATTTATAAATTTCATCCACTAGTTTTCCCATTGGCACAACAGTCGTTATTTCTCCAAAGACCTGATAAAATTTCTATATGAATTTTCTTTACGTGCTATGCTGCTTTTTCCCCATTAGGTTGTTTATACATTTTTCAATAGTCTTACCCTTTAATTACATACTCAACTAGTTTATCCAGTACAGTGTGATTCTCACTGTAAGTTTCCACAGCTATGTCTAAAATTCTTTTAGACTGAATTCAGATAGACAATTCATCAGTCCTCTGGAAAGTTTGTGATAACAGGGTACACAACTTTGCCAACAGTTGCATAATTTTACCCTTGATGCTCTTTAATAACCTAAGTAGATCAAGTTCTGTTGATTCATCTCATTCTGGTATGTTCACTGGTCCAGGAGACTTCTCACTGTTTATTCATAAGAATAATACCACCTTCTCTGTATAGTGCTTTATGCTTTTCAAGTATTTTCAACTTTTCAGTGGGTCCAGTAGTATTCATCTCTGTCAATCAAAAAAGAATTTATTTTCCTATAAATTTAATCCTACAGAAAATATCTATTAATTTCTTTAAAACCCTGTAATTTAAAAGTGAGACTCTTGGTAATGTTCCCTTAGTAAAGTTGAAGGAAAAAATATAAAACCAATTCATTTACTCTGTTGCATTCCTTTCCCCCACAATTAAGTAGTACCAGTGAAAATTTAACAGGTTGTGGAATACTCAAGCTTGAAATATCCTGAGTAAATGAAATGTGTCCAAAGGTACCTGCTGTATAAACATCATGAGGGCCAAGAGGTCATGTTTGTGTATGTAAGGGAAATTTGTTAGTCAAACAAGAATGCTAGGGCATTCGCCATTGATCAGTCTGAAACTATGCACCATTCAAGCACACTTAATGAGTAAGAAACTGATCAACTGCTGCTGACTCTTAACTTCACTGGGTGTCTTCTAATAGGCCCAGAGATGTGCACTAAACCTAACCTTGCTCATTAGTATATCTCCTTACTTGGTTCAGAGAGAAGGGCCCAGGAATGGAAGAATAAGAAAGACATACACTACACTCTGGTGTCCAATATGATTGTTGCAATCCAATAAACTGGTTATTACTGTTTCAAGTCCTTGAATACTAAGAGTACAAATTTGGTATTTAAACCACAAGTTGGGAATGTTTAGAAAGGTATTGAGTTTCTCTGCCTGTGGGCAGACATCACTGGGGATCTCTGTCAGAGTAGAAAGGTTTTATGCAAGACTCAGGGGCTGGCTTTCAAATTTGACTAGAATTCAGATAGGCAAGAGAGGAAAAGCCCTACAGGAGAGAGAGAGAGAGAAGCAATATAAAGGCAGGCAAACAGGTAGAAATGAGCTAGTTATTACACACAAGATGATGAGGAAACCTGCTTGACTTGATCACCAAGTACATTTTGAACAGTACAAAGTAATATTGGAGAGATGGGATAGGGACAGATCAGCTTCCTGTAATTGCACTGATGAAAGATAACAGAGCACCAGAATTTCAAAGTACTATCAGCAATGTGATTTCTTTTTTAAGTAATGTAGTTTGCTTTTCAGTTTTGATGTAGCCATTCAGTAGAATCATACTTGGTTAAACATTGCCATCATATTCAACAAGGAGGGCTTGAATTGGACAGGATCTCATAATTGACTTGGGTCTCTTAAGATTTCAGATCTAGAAACTGATTTTGAGGTCCTGAGCATCTTACAGTAGACGTAGGAAGAGAGCAAACTCAAAAGTGCATTGTCAGGTAAACTGAGGGTGAAGATAGATCTCCTAAAGGGGCAACATAAGTTTGCAACTATGGCGACAATAGTGTCATTCAAGATTGCTTCCTTTCCCAAAGCAGAAAGCAACATAACAAAGATTTCCTCTCCTTGCACAGGAGCCTGTTTCCTACCAGGAGTGTGGGAAATGAGAGAAGCTTCACCATTTATTGCCATGATAGGCACTGGGTAAAGAAAGGCTCACAGGAATACAAAAATAATAATGGGTGGGTATAAGAATTTCCAAGGTCTTAGCAAGCACTGTCTTGTCTGTGCTGCATTCTACTGACTTTTCTATTCTGCCTTTAACCTCTGTTCTTCCAGAGGCAAAGTGAGGAAAAGTGGCACTGAAACTCACCCACCATTAACAACTGCTGCATAAACGTCATTTAAACACTTGGTTCTGAAGTAGCAATTATTGGAGCACTTAGGTAATAAATGCCTGGTGAGTCTAATTTCTGCATATCAGAGAATTAAATAAAAATGCCTGAAAACTGGATAGTAAAGAAGCAACACCAGTTATGGAAGTGACACATAAGTGTTTTTTTCACATTAAGGAGCCAGTATGATATAATAATCCTATCATGACAGTGGCCTTGGCTCCTTGAGCTAGCAGAACAAAGGACTTACACTCTATGTAACTATTTCAGGCAGAAAAGTTTCCAAGTCAGCACCATTTTCACCTGTAAACCTGTCCTGCATACATCACATTGATGTGAGTCAGATGAGATAATTATGTGAAGGCACTTTGTAAATTGAAGAGCTATATATTGTAAAGGAAACATTATCATTCAATGAATCATAGAAGAACATGTTGAAAGGTCACTTATAGGTCAATATTTTGAAGTTCTAGAGAAATACACTTATTCTTAAGAACTAGGGTTTTGAATTAAATTTTTGAAATATTATTATGAATTTGGTATTCTGGTAACAATAATCTGAAGTGCTAATAATGAAATACATTAAAACTGTATTATTCCATTGCTTCTTTTTAATGCTTTCAAGTATTGTGTATCGAGTGCATACTATTATGTTTAAAAGAGTATTTACTGCAACACTGGTATGACAAAACAAAACAAGCAAGCACACAAGACCAACCTGGAAGCAACTCATGTGTCCATCATTATGGATCTTTTTAAGTAAATTATGGTACATTTGTATCATGGAATGCCACATACCCAAAGAAAAGAATGAAGAATGTTTTTAAAGTACTAAATGGAAAGGTATTCAAGAGATAGTACATGATAAACACAATGTGCAAAGAGTTTTATAGTTGTCAAGGAATTATTGGAAAGAAAAGTTTGTCTATATAGTAATATATACTAGTACACAGAAAACATTCTTGAGGAATATCTGCTATTTCTCCACTAACAATGGCTTTCCATATCATAAGTGCTGAACTTTCTACAGTAATTTAGTGATGCTGAATTTTTTATAATGAGCTCATATTCCTTTCATGAGCATAAAAAATCAGGGCTTTTACAAATTAACTAAATGCCTGTGCTTGAAACAAAAGCTAAACGTACTGATTATGTTTTTAACTTTAAATCTTATATTGAAAGAAACATTAAAGGTTTGAATTGCTAAAGCCAAAAAAAAGTTTAGTTCACCTGGCTGAGGCTGATTTGGAATTTTGGGGCTTGAAAAAAAAATGCCTCAAGATACTGATTCCAATGCACCAGGCAATAAGTTCGAAATAAGGTTCAGAGTCTCTATGGGGCTAAAACAACTCATCCTGCTAACATAAGCTGAAACAAAGATGAATTTTGTCTTCTTGTGAGATTTTTAGCTTTTGTTTGTGGCCAATAAATCAGAGATCCATATGTTTGTTGAATGCACTCTAAGTCCCAGAGAGTAATCCACTAAAATGGCTCGAACAAGGTCAAAAGTACTGACCAAAGTTAGGTTTGCTAATTGCCTTCAGGAACAAAGAAAGAACGTGAACTCTTTATAAAGGGAGATGGTTAAAAGTCAGCCATTTCCGAGGTGAATGATTACTTTTCCTTTACTTATTTTCCTTTATCTGTCCATCCCCATACCTGTTAAAATATCTTGTTGACAGCTGAATATGAAGAAAAGTATGATGTTATTAAAATTATAATACTACAGGCTATTTAGTGATATGCAAAACCAATCTTAGCAGTCACAAAAAAATAGTTAAATCTCAATTTGTGAGGATGGTGAGGTTATAAGTGATTTAAAAAATTTCCCATTACTGTTATTTTAAAATTGGGCAAGTTACACTTTCAAAAACAAAACATTTTCAACAAACAATGATTTCACAAAAATTATGGCTTCCTTTTACCTCTCAAAGGATGCACATGAAGGAAAAAATCATTTAATACTATATTTGCAAAAATAGTTTGGTTCTAGGTTGACTCTTAGAAATCTTCAAAACTAGTTGTAAATGCAGCACAGGAAAGGGAATTGTCCTTTTGTTATCCTGTGACTGCCTACTTGTTTCAGCTTGTTCAACAGTCTCCTATTACAGGCAGACATTCACAACATAAAAAGCCATTTGGAATTTGTTAGTTAGGTTCTCTAAGTCCATTCTGTCCCCTGTGGCATTACCTTACAAAAACATAGGGTAAATATGAATGAATTAAATAATATCCCCTTCTGGAAAAATAAAGATAAAAAAAAGTTCATGTCCTTTATTGAATATTTAACACAAGTTCCTAAAAACCCCTTAAGGAATTTGAAGTCCAGGATTTATAGTGCTTATAATAAAAATACTGTAAACACCAGTATGTTTATAATTTAAATATGAAACCATATTTAATCTTATAATGGCATAAATTCCAAACCTTGATTCAAAAATATTTTAAATGAAAAGAGCTCTTACAATAAACTTAGGAAACCATCAGCAAGTAGCATAACTTAAGTTTTGCTTTAATTCAACCAAAATAATAATTTACTTAGTTGCAGAAATGAAATAAATTTTGGAGTTTAAAAAGTTGGTAATATTGACTGCTAGGTGAGTTATAACATGAGCTACATTGGTTTTCAACTAATTTTAATAAAAGATTATCCAATATAATTACTTTGCTTTCATTCTTCTGAAAAACAGGTCAAAATGTAAGCTGTTACATAAATTTATTTGCTTCTGTATGTATAATTGAGCTGCAGAACTGTGCTCTTTGTTTCTTCAGATAAAAGTTGCTATTTCTATATTTGCAAACATTTTTATACTATGTGCAATGGCATTCTCTTCATAAAATGAGAAATGACAGCATATAGAAAACAAAATGAAAAAGCAAGGATACATTTTCTAATTGTAATACTTAAAATACAATAGTGAAATAGTAAGACAAAAATCACAATAATTTCATACAGCTCTGAAGAACTTCAATCCCAAAAGATTTCCTTCTATCATCTTTGTCATTCTTTATCTACAAAAGAAACATAATTCTATAATCATTTTTCCAAGGAACTAATTATACCTTAAAAGTTCTGAAAAGAGTGAAAATCATTTTGATTAAACAAAATAGACTTTTAAATCTATATTTGCAGTTCCATTGAGAAAAACTGTCAAAAATTAAAAGGAACCTCTTAAGTTGTAGACAGGTAGAATAGGGAAACAAAGGCAAAGACTATCTAGGTTTGACCTCAGGCTCTGCTTCTTACTTGCTGTGTGAACTTGGGCAGGTTACTCAACTTCACTGTCCTTTAGCTCCCTTATCTATAAAATGGGAATGATAATATTAGCAGTACTTGATTTGTAGGGTTGTCATTAAGATTAAATGAGTTAATAAAAGGAAAACATTCAGAATTGTGGCACCTGGTAGTACTATATAAATATTAGTTGTTTTTATTACAGTACATTTCTTTGAAATACTCTAAATCACAAAGTAAATAGTAGTTTCCTTGTTCAATTATAGCTGATGGTTGGTTCAAAAACAACTTCTGGTTCTACCTAGGTGACTGAGTTTTCCTTGAGAAATGTCCTAGGAAGGAACCCCCAGGACTGCAACTTTGATCCCTGGCCAGTGATTCTAAGTTTGTTCAGTTGAATCCATTCTGCAGGAAATGCGGTGAATGAATCAACTGGGAAGGAATCCACCTCTTTTGCTGGCTGAACAAAATGCTGAAGGATTGTTTTTATAAAGTTGATTTGTACTGGAGGACAAGTCTTCCAACACAGGATGTAAGCTTGAAGACACTTAAACTTTCATGTCTTTTTTTCCTGGAAAGATGGAAGATTAACAAAACCATTCTTAATTAAGTTAGTAATGCACAAGCTGATCAAAGTGAAATATTGCCATTAAGAAGCAAAACTCATTTTTGAATTCTGCAGAACCTACCTTTCAAATAATTAAAGCATAATGCCCAGTGGGATTCCTTGGAGGACTCCCCACCATCCTATCCAGCTGTCCGTCACTCATCTTTAGACTCATCTTCAGACAGATGTGGATTTTCTGGGAAATGCTTCACAGTTGCACTAATTTCCAGGTGCACAATTTAATATATATCACTAATATTTCCATAAACATGGTGGGCCAATTGTGAGTCATCTGCAGCCAGTTGTGGTATCTTCAATCTTCATGTAATCTTCAGTCTCCTGTGGTAAGTACGATTATTATGCACATTTTACAGAGGAGAAAACTGAAAAATAAACTGTACCTAGGCCATATAATTTTTAAAAGGAGGATCTGGGACTCATAGCAAGGTCTAATTCCAAAGCCAATACCTTTTGCTCTGTATTGCCACCTTCTCCAGCCTTGAAGGCAAAAAAATGTTTCTCTGTTGTGAGGGAGGGGCAAAATGTGAGCACAGTTAGCACTAGGCAAACTTCGAAAAAAACGCATCGTCTTTGCTGCCTGCCTGCTGCCATTTCTGTACCCTCCTGTCATGCTTCTTCTGTGATTTAGAGTACAAATTTTATAAAGCTATTGATTCTATTATAAAATTTGTCATTACAAAATAACATTTAATTATCTAATCCTGGTCACAATTCCCTATCCCTTAATTTCCCATAGGTATTATGCCAGCTCCACTTCCTCTCACAGCCCTATGCTCCTGTCACCCATTACCGTCCCTGATGCAGGTTAGCAGACAGGAGACCATTTTGTTGTCTTGATGGGCCCAAACCAAAGTCTTTTCTCTGTTCCTTCACTGCCCAGCAATGGCCTTCTCCTATCACCTCCAAAATCCCCTGAGAATATAACACTGATGTACTGAAAGTTTCTGTCTTAAATGTATCAAGTTTTACACTTGGTCCTGATGACTATAATGTAGATTTGAGTGAATAAACTGAATGAAATTCTGGCCTCTAAAGACTTTTCTAAAATTATGGTCACAACCAACATGGTCTTGAATTCATATTCACACAGTTTCTTAAGAACAGAATTCTTGCCCAAAATGACTGCAGTATATTCTGCTTTGCAACCAACATGTTTGATTTTCATATAACATTAGAGCTTAAAGACTATCTAATCCAATGGTTTTGAAGAAGGGGAAATCCTGAGATGCTAAGAAATATTGCAAAGTCACACCACTTGTTCATGCCTACACAGAATACAAAACCAGGTTTTCTTATCATCTCTCTTCTAGTGAACAAAAAAAGGCTAAAGGCAGTATGATGGGATGAAAGGAGAGCTTGGCCAGGAATAAAGAGAGCTAGGTTCAGTGTCTGATTTTTCTGCTAATTGTGTGACTCTTAGATTGAACTCTTAACCTCTCTGGACCAATTTCTTGAACTATAAACTGAAGGATTTAACCTAGAGTTCTCCAGTAAGATAGCCACTAGCCACAGATGTGGCTATTGAGCACTTGAAATGGGGTTACTCCAAATTAAGATGTATGTATAAAATACCTACATGATATCAAAGACTTTGTACTACTGAGAATGTTTGATTATCTTGATCTGGGTCATAGTTGTATGAGTGTATGCACAGGTCAAATTCAAAAAGATTTGCACTAAGATTTGTGCATTTTCTTGTATGTACTTAAATAAAAATATGTATTAAAAAATAAAAAAATTTGAAGAACCAAACTGTCACACAAGCAGCTAATACCCAATCCTTGCAAGTTGGAGCATTGCAGCTCAATATAGGCTTAGCATCACTAAACTTGCTGCTACAGTAAAAAAAAATGAAACAAAGACAGTACTACAAAAAAGAATGTAAAATACCTCATCACATAACATTTTTTATATTAATTACATGTTGAAATGACAACATATGGATATACTGAATTAAAGAAAACATTGCTGAAATTATTTTTATCTGTTTCCTTTTTTAAAATGTGGCTACTAACATATTCAAGATGGTGGCGTGAGAGGTGAGATGGAGAATTCCTCCCAAAACCACAGATAGTATGAAAATGTAGTTAATTGATACAACTAACCCTAAAACAACAACAAGAAAGGCTAAACCAGACCGCACACAAACCTCACGAACAGAGCAGACCTCACGAAACAGGGTAATGTATGAAAGCCTTAATCAGGCGGGACCGAAGCCCTCCCCCACCCCAGCTCACTGGCGGGAGGAAGAGAAATGGAGCAGGGGAGGGGGTAGAAGCCTGGGACTGCTGAACACCGAGGACTGGAGATCCGCTTTGGGAGCACAAACCTACACTGTGTGGGTCTCTGGAAGTTGGGGAGCCCAGACAGGTGCAGTGCTTGAGAGACAGATTCCGGCCATTTGTGGAGGATGGGATCCACATCTGGCCGCTCTGGAAGAAGGGAAAGGCAGGCTGTCTGAGAGGCTTCCTACCAGCAAGAAGGCTGCTGAAGGAGTGGGGTTTGCACAGAGCTTGCTGCGTTGGGAAGGGGAGAACTGGACAAGGTTGTCTGGGCGCACTCTGCCCAACTGGTTGGAAACTTTGAGGAGCTTCAGGTGCTCCATCCCGGTGGCTGCCTACTCAGCTCCAAGGACCCCCACTATGACACGCAGCCTGCTGTGACTTCCTCCTAGCCTGCCAACAACGGTTCACAAACCTGCAGTCACTGTGCTGGCATCAGGCCAGCCAGAGGGAGGCCCCACCTACAACAGCTAGAGATGCAAAGCACAGAGGCTTACACCTGTGTGCTTGGCCACTGGCTCTGACACCAGAGACAAGCACCACAGTTGGGAATGAGGAAACAGATCTTTCCTTATCCCAGACACCATCTTCGCTTCCCTCCGACCACCAACCTCACTCTTTTCTGGGCACTAGAGGGCACCACACAGAAATATGAAACATCAAAAGAACATGGTTCAGACCAAAACCTCACAAACTCCAGAAAAAGGGTCAAATGAAACTGAACTCACCAATCTGCCTGAAAAAGAGTTCAAAATAAAAATCATAAACATGCTTATGGAGGTACAGAAATATATTCAAGAACTCAGGAACATATTTAAGTTGGAGATTCAATCATTAAGAAATTCCATATCTGAAATGAAACATACAATGGAGGGATTTAAAAGCAGACTAGATATAGTAGAAGAGATGGTAAATGGAATAGAAATTAGAGAAGAGAAATACAAAGAAGCTGGGACACAAAGAGAAAAAATCATCTCTAAAAATGAAAGAATATTGAGAGAATTGTGTGATGAATCCAAATGGAACAATATTCGCATTATAGGGGTACCAGAAGAAGAAGAGAGAGAAAAAGGGATAGACAGTGTCATTGAGGAGGTAATTGCTGAAAAATTCCCCAATCTGTGGAAGGAGACAAGTCTCTCAAGCCATGGAGGTGCACAGATCTCCAAACACAAGGGACCCAAGGAAGACAACATCAAGACATATAATAATTAAAATGGGAAAGATCAAGGATAAAGACAGACATTTAAAGGCAGCTAGAGAAAGAAAAAAGATCACATATAAAGGAAAACCCATCAGGCTATCATCAGACTACTCACCAGAGACCTTACAGGCCAGAAGGGAGTGGCAAGATAGATTTAATGCAATGAAGCAGAAGGGCCTTGAATCAATAATACTATACCCAGCAAGGTTATCATTTAAATTTGAAGGAGGGATTAAACAATTTTCAGATAAGAAAAAGTTAAGAAAATTTACCTCCCACAAACCACCTATGCAGTGCATTTTGGAGGGAATCCTATAGATGGAAGCATTCCTAAGGCTAAATAGATGTCACCCAAGCGATAGACAAAGAGTACAGAATATGATTCATAACATACAAAGAATGGAAGAGGAAGAAAAAGGAGGAAAAAAAAAAGAGAGAACATTTAGGTTGTGTTTTTAATAGCACACAAAGTGAATTAAATTAGACTGTTAGATAGTAAGGGAATTACCTTTGAACCTTTGGTAACCACGAATCTAAAGCCTGCAATGGAAATAAGTACATATCTATCGATAATCACCCTAAATGTAAATGGTCTGAATGCACCAATCAAAAGACATAGAGTCACTGAATGGATTGAAAAANTCTGACACTGAAGACAGAGGCACTGCAGACAGAAATCAGGAAACAAAACTTTCCTCCCCCTAGGCACCAGTGCTGTTCCCCTATGACCCCCATCTCACTCTAGGGGCTATGGAGCTCCATAGAGTGGAGCTCCTGGACACTAGTGGGCACCACAGAGAAATGAAACATCAAAATAACATGGTTCAGACCAAAATCTCACAAACCCCAGAAAAAGGGCCAAATGAAACTGAACTCACCAATGTTCCTGAAAGAGAGTCAAAGTAAAGATGATAAACATGCTTATGGAGGTACAGAAAAATATTCAAGAACTCAGGAACAAATTTAAGTTGGAGATTCAATCATTAAGAAATTCCATATCTGAAATGAAACATACAATGGAGGGATTTAAGAGCAGATTAGATGTAGTAGAAGAGACGGTAAATGAAATAGAAATTAGAGAAGAGGAATACAAAGAAGCTGCGGCACAGAGAGAAAAAAGGATCTCTAAGAATGAAAGAATATTGAGAAAACTGTGTGACCAATCCAAATGGAACAATATTTGCATTACAGGGGTACCAGAAGAAGAAGAGAGAAAAAGGGATAGAAAGTGTCAATGAGGAGGGGATTGCTGAAAACATCCCAATCTGGGGAAGGAGATAGTCTCTCAAGCCATGCAGGTGCACAGATCTCCCAACACAAGGGACCCAAGGAAGACAACATCAATACATATAATAAATAAAATGGGAAAGATCAAGGATAAAGACAGACTTTTAAAAGCACCTAGAAAGAGAAAAAAGATCACATACAAAGGAAAACCCATCAGGCTATCATCAGACTTCTCAACATAAACCTTACAGGCCAGAAGGGAGTGACATGATATATTTAATGCAATGAAGGAGAAGGGCCTTGAACCACTACCCGACAAGGTTATAATTTAAATTTGAAAGAGGGATTAAACAATTTCCAGATAATCAAAAGCTGAGAGAATTTACCTCCCAAAAAACCACCACTACAGTGCATTTTGGAGGGACTCCTCTAGATGGAAGTATTCCTAAGGCTAAATAGATGTCACCCAAGGGACAGACAAAGAGTACCAAATATGATTCATAACATACAAAGAATGGAGGAGGAAGAAAAAGGAAGGGAAAAAAAAGAACCTTTACGGTGTGTTTGTGATAGCATATGATGTGAGTTAAATTAGACTGTTAGAT